GGTAGAAGAGCTCAAATCTGTGCAATTACCTTTACACCAATAAAAGTATTTGCATTACTTTTTTTTTGTATTATCTAGCAGAACAAGATTTAGAACAGGCAATTTAATACAATAACACCTGAAGTCTTAAGTGACTGACTGAAAAAAACCTTATATGAAAGAAGTATAACTAACTGCCCACTACTCTGTTAAGTTTTAGTAGTTTACATTACTTTCCCATGGGATTTTTTTCAGTCATTTATAGTTCATTGCTTCATATGGCTATAGAATCCCTGCTGTGTTAAAAAATGCCAAGTAAAATTATATCTCATTCACTGCTTTATGCTATACCTTCTTTTGTTCAGATCCAATTAGTGAAAGCTTGTTCTTCATTTATCATACTTTTAGCTGATTACATTAGGCATTACAATAGTTCTCTAGCTTTCCTTGACAATGTTTGCACCATCAGTGTTACATTTATGGTTGAGGAGGCTCTTTCATCTTAACCCTCCATTCCAATCAGTTCAGGGGGAAAGAGTACATACGATTACTCTTGTTCAGCTGAAACTTCTTTGCTTGTTTTCTCATATCAAAAATAATTCCACCAGATGTTTTAATTAAAAAAATAATCCAAATTCTATTGGTCCTTCCCCACTTCACCTAAGTGTAAAGAATGTTTTGCAAGTTGAACATTGAAGTTAAAAAACCAAAACCCAGCATTTTGAATAGTATACAACTTTTTACCTCTGCTTTCCCCAAAATAATAGATGTAACAAAAAAGTATTGGCCAGGATTTTCAAGACTCTAAAAGCATCCATTATGACCTACTTTTTTTCAAAACATTCAGTACCACATGAGTAACTGTATGCTCCATGGGGGTCTCAGCAGCCATTTTGTCAGGTTGTTTTCCCCAACCACCACAATTATTTTTACGTCAGGACAATTGCTAAAGCAGCAGCTTCTCTTCCACAGCACAACTAACTTTAGACATAACTTTTTTTCCCAGTTCACACACACATCCTCTCACCTCCACAAAGATAAATGCAATTCAATCCCATTTAATACCATTTCCAGCTATCTGTAATTTTGCATTAATACAGATGCATCCAAAAGTCTCTAAAGTCACCCATCTCCTTTTAAGTTTTGTTAATGCTCTCTTCACTATCACTGTAAAAATTTTAATCCATACAAACTTTTCAGATCTTTGGTCATTTTTTAAATTAAGAGCACAAGCAGTGTATTTTGTTCTTTGTATTTTCCCTCTTCAGGTAAGCTTTATTTGGCTCTTGGCAGGTTGTTCAATTTTTGCAACATCCCCAGTTTATAACAGTCCTCTCTGCTGCTTCCTGATCGTAATGGCAAAGTTTTAATTCCTTGAAATGAAAATTCCTTTATGTTCTGATAGTCTAGTGGCCAGTTTTATCTATTAATGATAAGTATGTCAAAATTAATATTGCTCTAACAGCATATTCAAAACATTTGCCCTGGTGCTCTACAGAAACTAAGTCTAAAGACCAAGAGAAAGCCATTTCATGGAAAGTTTATATGTATATCAGCTATTCCCACCACCTCTATTCAGTACCATGAACTCCACAAGGATTTCAGATCATTTTAAAATTTTTATAAAATGAAAGAAAAGTTGAATATTCAACCAAAGAAAACACACAAAAATGAACTCTAGGATAAGATTACTCACTAGCAAGTCTTACACTACCTGCACTCAAAGACGATTATTTTAAGACTGTATACCATTCCTATCCAAACACCAGTGAAAATGCCTGAGTCATTTATGCATATCACTGGACAGGGAATAAATTAGAAGCTATTACTAAAGATATCACTGAATTGCCAGAAACCTTGGGACAGTTTTCTTTCTCCCCTTAAATATTTAGTGAACGCACTGAAGGAATTCTGCCTCACTTCAATTTCAGTTCTGTTTTCAACCAATATGACAGAAAGACAGAGAGATGGAACAGACAGACTGGATTGCCCTCTTTTACAGTTATTTTTGATATGAATTCATATTAAAAGTATCAGGCTACCCATTTCTCAGCAAGTAGCTATAGGGATGATGCAATCTATATAGCTACAGGTAATGTAATAAGGGGCCATTACTACATCTCAAAGGTTGCTCCACAAAACAGAAAATGTATCTACTCCAATTAGTGCTATTTTTAAACACATTAATAAAAAATTATTTTTGTAAACCATCCCTACCTGCTTTAGTCACCTAAAACCACATGCCACTGGATGGACAACTAGTTCAACTGCATGCCTTGACATTTATTTCTGCCTTTGGTTCAATGACCATAATCATCAGGGTAGCTGCCTATCATATTTGATGTCTTTGCAATACAAGTCATGAAGGAGTGAGAGATGCTCTGTCAAGCAGAAAATCAAAAGAATATTAACAGCTCTTGCAGCATCCCACTGCTAAACAAACAGGTTTCTCCTAGCTCCTTGAGGACAGAGGTTCCTCTGGCAGGTTGCATCAGCTCCCAGGTTTGATTTCAGAGCGTCTGGGATTTCACTACGACTGGTACAACCGAGAAGGCAGCTGTTGATGGATCCTGAACACAATTATGGGCAACTATGGTTGGATACTTTATGGTAAGCAACGGAGTCAAAGAATTCGGCCTCTGGGCTCATCTACCAAGATCATCCAAACTGGCAATCACACACATCACTGCAACAGGCCACACCATTCCCACAATGGATAACTGGAGGTATCCAAGTCATTAAGACAGGCAACATCAGCTAAACTATTTCCAGTGCAAGCACACAAGGTAGTGATTAAAGGATGTATGGTAGACATAAACGATGTGCATAATTAGACCAAAAAGCTTAGACTTAATACCACTTCCTTATTTTAAACATACAGAAGAATATTTCAAGTAGCCTGCCTCTCATTTTCTTTAAATACTTGGAGCTTCAATGCACACAGCTACTGCTTAACCCTGCACAGATCAGTTTGATTGGTCTATAAGTAGGGATCTAAAGAGCTAAGCAAACACTGTCACCCTTACAGCATTTGTTAGTCTCGTCTCTTGTTCGTGAACTCAGAATGTCAGCATCCCATTTAACACACTTAATGTTATCTTTATGAACTGCCATAAGTATATTAATGCATTTCTGAGATACCAGCTTGGATTTCCTTTCTCTCATGAACTATTACAAATTAAAGATCCTATCTGTCTTTTAAAGCTAAGACAGCACTGTAGATCGAAGCAACACAGACACATTTTCAAATTCCTCTTTGTAATGCACTATTTGTACTCCCTTCCCTAAGGTCATGAGTTATACTTTTCATGTCATTCTTACTCCTTCATTATGTTCTTCAATCTTTGTTTTTACTTACTGCTTTCAGATTTTTTTCACAGTCTCCAGATTGTAGAGTCCACACAATAAACAGACGTGTTGGAGAGAAGACCAATTCATTTTCTCAAGTCTATTATAGACTGGTGAAAGAACATGTTTTCTTTTTTTAAACAGCTTTTTAAGTCTATTTTCAGGATGAATTCACACCAGTGAACAAGGCTATGCAGTGCTGCTAAACAGTCAATCTATTTATCCTAACAGCAGATATCATATATATAAGATGGAATTCAAGTATCCATCAGCATGCTTCGGTTTTACTAGAGGAATCATAGGTCATACACAGTACTTTGTATTCATATTAACATAACCCTTGGTTTCCAAAAGAAATAGAATTAATCATGATGTCTGAAATCTCCCCATTAAGAATTTCATTTCAGTCCTTTGAGCCCTCACAGGCTACTGCACTTTACCAGTTACAGCTACCAGTTGAAATCCAGACCAAGTATACTTTCCATTCATCTCAAACAAAAGAATTACTTGGCATAAAAATCTTCAGTAGAGCATTCCATAAAGTCCCATTTCAGTCCCTTGCTCTATCTACAGCCTATTCATATGAACTGAGTTGGTCATGTAGTATTAGAACCACAAAGGAACTCTGACAAAAACACTGTCAAAGTCCAAAACTCCCAACAGTTCTCACCTTTCACTTAACTCTGAAAACACCTAACTTCTAACTACTTTCAGATTTCATCAACCATGCTTCAGTTTTTCCAAAGTTGAGTAACTCAGTATCTATATTCACAAGTCCTGTCCTGCACACAATACACATTTTTTTCCCCTGATATCTTGTCTGAGTGACTTCTTTTATTAAATCATAACAAGGTTTTCACTCCCTTCCAGATTTCAACAAGCTATCCTGGGACATGGGATTATCCCTAGCCATTTCTCCTGTAGCAGTTCTACTGTAGTAGAGTGTGTTCTCTCTAGTCAACAAGGATACACAAGTATGACTGCACTTGCTGTTATATCACAAAAGAAATTATCCCCTTATTCTTGCCATGAATTACTTCAATTATTTCTAAAATAGAGACTACAAGCACCTGAAAATGGGCAAGTAGCTAGACAAGTACCTTACTTGTCCGGAAAGTCATTTTACCACCTTCCTGCCATGCTGCTGAATATTCAAGGCACCTCAATATCCGAATCAAATGGAACAGCTCCAGTAGGCCTGTTCAGCACACCTGGTGAGAGAGGGCATTTCTCTGGGAAGGGGGAAGCAATGAACTCAATTTACCAGGCACAGGAAAAATTTATACTCAGCTCTACACCATCTCCTAAGATCCACTTTTCATTGCCTTCTGTGTGTACATTAGCAAAACATAATTTAAGTGTCACTGCCACTCACAGTAGGTGCACATATCTGTGTGCACATCTAGAACTTAATCCACACAAAGAGGAAGGTAACATTTACACAAGCAAAACATAGAAGAGTTCACAGAAAAGATATGCTAAATACTTGTCTAATTCTCCCTCCAACTTGGTACTCCACTCCGTTCAAGCACATAGAGGAAAAGGACATACAGAAAGATACTTCAGAATTGCCAATATGCTTACCACAATAATCAACAAACCTGTATAACAGCTTCAAGTCTTGCAGAATTACTAAGAACCCCATTTACCACTTGAATTCAAGTAGTACTTACAGCATTGGCATCAACATCACTGTGTATGGCAACTGTTTTAATCCCCATCCTCTTACACGTTTTGATGACCTACCATGTAAGAAGTGACAATTATCAATATTTAAAATACCAATAATGTAAGAATTAACTACAAAAAAAGAAAAAATTAAAAGACTACATACTTACTCGGCATGCAATCTCTCCTCTGTTGGCAATAAGGAGTTTTTCAAAAGTCTGAAGGGAAAAGAACAATAAGAATCTTGAGATATGAACAGAACACAAGTTTTTCTCCCTCCAGAAACATGTCTTCTTTTCTCCTCCACTTCCACTAAAACCATGGTTTATCCATGAGCTTGTAATTCTGAGATCACCTACTTTTAAAAGAGTTCTGCTGATTTAACAGTGATGATATAACAAACAGTATGCTTTACTAGATCTACCTAGCACACACACAGGTTCAGAAGAAAAAGGTTTTGATTATTCACACCAGCATTCTTTTGCTCTCCTTACCAGGCACTGTGCAGAAACTAGAACCCTACAGCAGCAGCTCTTGGAACCAGTCAAGTCCAGGGAAAAGGTGTAAGCAGGTATGCTGCCTGGCATCAGCACAGGTACATACTGGCAGTATGCAGATACAGTGCTGACAGGTACAGTGGTCAGTGCTCCTAATCAGTATAGATGACCTGGAATACAATACTCATTTGTTATGGGAGAACTTTAAAAGACATTCCAATCATAAGGAAGAGAGCCTTCTCTCTACCTAGGGTATGGGGGGGGGGGGGGGGTAAAAGACCAACACTTCCACGCTGTCCAGGTACTCCTGCTGAGTTATACCAGTTAGCCCCTACTCATATCTGAGCCTCAGGTGAGGAACCTGGCAAAATCCTTCATTGCCATCATGACACTGTGTGGTGGGGAAAAAAAAGTGTTTTTTCCCTGTTGGAGTTAAAAAAAAATGGTAACCCCCGAGGGGGTGGTGTCTCTCTAGGTGTTAACCCAATCAGCGCCCCTGCAAAATTAAAACATATCACACCAAACCGGAAAAGAAGGGTGATGTTGTAGTTCAAGATGAGAGTGGCCATGTTCTGAAGTCACCAGGAGAAGGGGCAGGAGCCCCGTTGGGGGCTAGGCCCCCCAAGCCCCCAGCTGGCTGTGAGAACTTGGAACAGTGTTAAACTGGGCTAAGAGCTGGAGAGAGAGAGAGAGAACTAAGCTCTACAGACAGGGTTTTGGGGTAAGAACTTAATCAAGAAACCCCCAAAACCCCTTTTGAGACACATTCCAGAGAGGAGGGGTGGTGGACTCCCATTTGAGGGGAGTCTTGGAATGCAGCAGTACCGGTGAGAGGAGTTAAGAAGCTCAGACGTCCTGGAGCTGGACTGGGACAGCCAGAAGGAATGCGGGGAAAGTGGCCTGCCCCCACCCCACCCCACCCCGCTGCTGCCAGGCTGGCAGCCTGAGACAGAGCACAGGAGCTCTGGTAGAACTCTTGAGGCAAAGGCTTTCAACTGACAGCTGCCTCAAACCCCAGGCAAAACCTTCCCATTAAGAGTGGTGCAAGAGCATAGCTGCTCAGCGTAAAAATCTCATTGCTGGGAGTAAAAATTATTCTTGTCACAGGCCTTGCTACTAAATACACAGGTGCAGTTTGATACTGCACTTGCTTTGTTGTAAATACAGACTGCCACTGAAAGGGACAGTCCTGCTTTACACACTTATCCCCACTGCTTTCCATGCACCAGACCTAGCAGGGGTCCAGCTCCAGGACAGGGCACCAGTTTAACACAGTAACCGAACTGTCTTACTCTGTTTCCCATGCTCTAAATAAAAACAGGACAGAGAACCAGCAGGACCTCTCCCTTTCAGGGGCAACCTGCAATCATACCACAACAGGTTGATCCAACTATACCCTAAGACATTCGACAGCTATTCTCCCCCCTCTACACCAAACAGCTGGTTTTCATATGGACTTGGGGGGAAGGAATTATCGCCACTGCAACGATTAAACTGTTTGTTAGCCTCACAGTCATTAGTTAATTTGGGCAGGGGAAGACAGGTGTTAGAGGAGAGGAAGGAACACCACAAAACTCCAACAGAAAGTGCTATTGACAAACTAGAATACATACTGTTTGTTCCCTTACTCCAAACAGACAAACTCAAAGTGCCCTTGACCAAATTTACTTTTTCAAAGTCAGGGCTGAGCTGACATCACATGACCAGTTTAAACATACTACCACATGATAACACCATAAAGAAATTAAGTGACAAGAAACCCTCCAGGTAAGAGCTGCACAGCAAGCTTATACACCAAATTCAACCAGATCTGCTGAATAACACTGCCTGGGACACAGGCACACCACACTCGAAAGATGATCTTAAACACTTTTAAGCAAGCTCAATTAATTATCAGAGGTACAAATACTTTAATAACACCACAGGAGCCAGCAATTTGTTTGGAAAGGTTTTTTTAGCTGGAGATCTGATCTAAAAAAGATACCAATTGTTCCTGAATCTAAATTTCAACATTCTAGGTACCTAAAGATTTTTAGGCATACAGACTTGAGGGGGAATTAAAAACTACTTCCAAATACTTGGCATTGAAAAGTTTAATGAATCGAATACTCCATTCAACTTACTTCTTGGTATGTAAAAGTTGTTTTATTAATCAGCTGTGGTCACAGTACAAGACAAGACTTTCAGTATCAAGATGTTAAGAATATTTGACATTCATTTTAATTTTCCAATTCTACAATAAAGACACTGAGAGACTGGTATCTCGCTCCTGCTGTTAGAGGCTAGTCTCAAGTCCAGCACAATGAGAAAAAATTAAAAACCACACACTGCTTTGAAGTAACATTTTTTAAATGTCATTTCCACTAATTAGCTTGAAAAGGTTTCACATGAAAGTCTCGTCATTACAAAAACATTAGAAGGGGTAGTGAATGAAAAAAGCAGAAAAGAGCTTAAACCATCTGTAGTAGCCACTGGTTGAAACAACAGCTCCTATTTGAGAGAAACCAGATACCCAATTACGTTATCTAAACACAACTATGCATTTAGAAAAGGAAGGAGACCTGATTAAGCAAGGACTTTAAAGAAAAAAAAATTTTCTGAAGAAATCTGTAAAGCCATACTGTTTTTCCCTGTTTCCTAGTACTATCTTACTCACGGTTAATTGCTTCTACACTTGTACATAAAGGGTTTCTACACCGGTAGAATATCAGTCCTGAATTGCTATCATCTTTGCCCTTGAATACTAGCATACCTTCAGTCACATTATTTTTCCTAGTGCGTTACTTCATAGGCCATGCCAAGACAATCTTCTATAAGGAAAGTTTTTCTTGGCTCATAACTGTAATTTTGAGATTGCTACTGCACAAGACCCAAGATGAGGATTTGCTATTCTCTGCAGGCCTTAAAGGCCCATCTTTATCCAAGCTCTGAAGTTCCCACCCTCACGTCAGATCATCTAACAATCATGCTGCCACTATTACATACTTCTGTTTCCACAAAAAGCTTTTGGCTAGTCTAGCTCCCAGATGTTTTAACAGGCCCATTACCACCCACAACTACGCAAAACATTAACAGTTGTTTCATAATAGTAACATGTTCAGGCCAGTATGCAACTTTTCCAAGCTCACAATCACTTATTCAACCTTTTGGTATACACTTGAAGTAGTATCCAATCTTGACAAGCATCCCGCAAAAATAACTTCCCTTTTGGTTTAAAAAAAGGGAAGAAAAACATGCTATTAAACCAGGGATGGGTTATACCAGGAGAACTACCACTGTTAGTAGCAGCACCAGGGAGAGGATAGCTTAAACCAACTGCCAGCAGTACAGTAAAATGTCAAAGAGAAAACATGCACCATATTACTTACCTTTTCGTTTGGATCATACACAGACGAATACAGTCTATGTGAAGTTATAAGGCACCATCTTGAACACAGCGTTTCACACTACAGAAGAGAGAGGGAGTTAAACCATTTTCTCCTGTTACCGTAGGCCATTAAAAACATTTCACACACTGACATCCTGAGGAAACTTCCATATCCCTTTCACTCTCTCATCAAGTGGATGAAAGCTCATACCTTCCCTGGGTGCCCTTCCCCAAGCACACACCCACAAACAGTAACCAGAAACAATTCAGAAATTCTAGATATGAAGTCATTAGCTTAGGTATAAGCAGAGCCACACTTGATCACCCACTTGGAATCAAAAAGACTGCAAAATCCTTAACACTAAATATTGTCTAGCAGGAAGCATGAAACAGTAGTGACTGGCAACTGCCAGAACACAGAATCTGTCAATTCTGTCTGAAAGAACTGTTTTCAAGAGCTGCAGAAATCTAAGCAGTAGAAAGTAAAGGCTCTCCTGCAAGAAGGTTCTCCTGTATTTTTGGGGAAAACAATACGGATATGGACTACATTAGAAGACCAAAAAATAAGGAACCATATGATCGTAAAAAGAGGTTAATTAGAGAATTCACTTGCACCTTCCACAAGGGTAGTGAACTTAAGAGAATTGAAAAATTGTTAAAATTTTAAGTTTCCTGAAAGCTTATACTGATCTGGAAGTAACAGTGGCTGGTAGTAACTGGAATGAGAACACTCCCTACACAGCCCTCTGGCCTGATCAAGTTTGAAAATAATTCTCATGTTGCATCACAGAAAGCAGATAATAGCCCAGAATTGAGAAGGCCATCACATTTGTAATGCAGCTGATACTATAATTTTATAAAGGAAAAAAAATATTTCAATAAAAGTACTGTAACACAGAACTAAAGGAAGCCTTAAAGCATACCATCTCATGCCAGCTCCAACCAAACCTCATGAGCAGAAAGCTACTATAGTTTCACAAACCATTTAGATGCCGTTCACTAGTGGCAGACATTGCATACATTGTTCCCAGATAATCCAGCTGTGCTTAATTCTTCCAGAATGATTCATGTATATTAATTATTCTGAAACTAGAAAAAGTCAATTGAAAGCAACTGTTCCACCCTGTTTCACATGCTGGGCTCTTTCCCCTTCACTTTTTTTGTTTCACTAGGAGTTTTTTGCTTCTTTCATTTTTCTCACTTTACTCCTCAAAAATAAAATCCAGAACAAACTGAAATGCGAATCATTTGATATAGTAGAATCAAAACAACCAGGGCTTGGGTTTTTTGGAGGTTTTTTGTTTGTTTTTTTTTGCAGGGATATATTACTCTTATCTGAGGATGTGACAGTAGGAGCCTTTTCAGGCATTAAAGGGATGCAGTCAAGGACAGAATTCTGGCAGTTGCAATCACACCTACCAGCTGGTCCTTACTCCAAGTTTACAGAGCGACTAACATCTTCAGTGATTGTATTCTGCTCTAGATACTGTCAGAGGGAAGAGGAAGGATAGCTACAGCAGTAGCAGCAGAGTACACTCTCCTGCTCCAGAGTACACAGAGTCAAGCAGATTGAGTTCCTCTCCTCTGAAACACTATTGACAGAAGTGCTTGAGGGACAGCAAATAGTCTACAGAAGGTCACACAGGACACACACGAAAAGTCTCCACCGAGTTAATATTATTCATTGGAGAAAGTGCTTGTTAAGGGTCAGTGAGGCTAATCTAAATACTTGCAGTTAGCAGGGGAAAAGGGGACAACCAAGTAAGGGAGAAAAAGCTTCTGAACTTTCTTGCAAACACCTTTTATACAAAACTGGTTTTGAATGCTTATGAGAAACCAGAAACACAGATGGAGACTGGAAAAAAAGGCTACGATGGGAAAAATCAGTTAGCATTAAGTTGTAGAATCTTAGCCATCTTGAAAAAAGCCTTGTTCAAACTTTTTATACAGAAACAGTAAAGTCACCAAGCAATTAAAAAAAAAATGGAAAAGCTTTAAAAAACACTCAACTCTGTTTTTACACTACAGAATTGGACAGATTTCACATAAAAATCTTGTACTAGCCTAACCTAATTATGTACCTATGTCCTCTCACTTGCACACACACAAATCACGTAAAAAAACAGGTTCAGCTCTGAATCGGATACATGTGGGGTAACTTCCTAAAACAAACCAAGCATATTGCTCAACTCAGATGGGAAGTTCCAACTCTAATTCACAGCTTTGGAAAGAACAGGTTCTGTATGTATCTGTACCAATATACACTAAGGTTTAAGAGCTTGCTTAATCTAGAATCCACTTCAAGAAAAGTCTCTTTAGAGCTCTGCTCCCAGACACTATGAGCCATTGAATAATTACTTAAAAATAAACAAGCATATTGTAAATAATGCACATCTAAGGCCACAAAGGAGCACTGCTAAATTGCCATCTCCAAATCCACAGCTATTCAGGTGTCATCACCTACTCCATTTTCCAAAGTTCCCGCCATAGGTAGGTTCATTAAAAGCTGAAACCCCCAAAGAACTCTCAAACCACCAACCCAGCAAAACCAATCTAACTCTCAACCTACATCCTTAATTGGCTGCCTCCACAAACCCACACACGCCCTAGGTGTTATACCCTACTTAGAAATTTCCTCAGAATACTGCAAAGAGAGCTCAGCTTGATCTAGTGATGTTTTTGTATCCTGCAAAACTAGGAAAGGGCAGTAGAGTCATCAGGTATAACCTATTTTTGTCATGACTTGTAACTTCAATTTGATAAAACTTTTGACTCTTGAAAGCCCAAGAATGCAGACTATTCATTTATGAGAGCTCAACTCTGAACTTCTGCATGTGGCTTGGAGTTTCCCACCTCTAATGAATCTTCAGAAAATGGTGTTAGCACTGTATTTTAGAAAAGCATCTTGCTTTATCTATTAATGGTGCAATAGCCAAACTGAGCTGAAACCTAAACAGCTGTAACAGTTATAGAACAACTTCATATAAAAAAAAATTCAAACTACACAGTAACTAGTAGAACAGTATGCCCATTGCACACTGCCACTTTGAGACCTCACAGAGAACCTGCCTCCCCTCAGGGACCCAGTGCAGCCCTAGGAAACCTCTTCAGGTGGTTTAAGGACACAGCATACAACAGCAAAATAGATAATTAACTCGTTTTTCAGATATGGTTTACCCCTGTGTTTGTAAAGGTTTACATGCCCTCACCGAGGAAGGAAATTTCCTCGCCATACTGGTCAGCTTGTAAATAACTCACTGATACTGAGCTTTACAGGCAGAAAAAGGTCTCAGTGTTGAAAGAGAGGTACAGAATTCCAGATTTCAGGCAGGAAAAGCATCATATATAAACATTTGCTCTAAGAAGTCTAGTATGGGAAGGAATGTATATTTTAGAATTACTAGAAAATACAGTAAGCAATACCCAGTAGTAACAGCCAAACTAGCACACCTATTTCCACTAGACTTAAATTCAACTTTCTTCCATTAAGATTTTTGCCCCTACATTTTCAGAGATTCAGGTTTCAGATACTATGAGAACAACCCCCTTATCTTCGTGGTGTATCTACTCGTAGCCATCAGCATTCATGAGCAGTTATAAACATGAAGACAGTAGGGTTTTTTTCACATTTTGATTATACAGCAAATGTTCCCAAACCTTTTTTATTTCAACTCATTTGACATCATAATTCCCTGTCTATGGAACTCTACTGATAGAGTATGCACAAAGGAAGCAGGCACCTTCAGGTGGCTGCAAGACTTTTAATTCATAAGGCAGAAAACGCAGCTTCCTAGTACAATATTGTATGAATCTTGTAAATGGTAAAGCAAACATAACGCTTCTGTTCTTTTTCTCTAAGGAAGCACTTTCCTTTCCTTTGTACTCCCAGAGTCTTGAAGAGCCAAGCACTTGTAACTGTAAGCAGATCCCCCTGAAGCCAACTGCAAACACAGATGTAGGTTCTGTAAAGCACGCTGCACTACACATAAGAGTTCTTTCCATCTGACTGGGTTTGAGAAACACTCGTAATTCTGAGAACAGAAAATCTGGTTTTCGTATTTGCCACCACAGCACACAAACTACAAACAAGGAAACACTCATCCATCTAAGGCTGTTTTTTTAAGGTCAGTCATTCCTATGCCCGTGCAGCTTCTCCTCTGTGCCAGTCCCTCAAGTTCATACAGTCACACAGTGAACCAGACATGGGAATACAACCACCTGAGAAGATATTCAAAAGGAGTGTGGAAAAATATGTTCTCAGGTAGACTTTAGTCCAGCTTATCCAAGATATTTACACAGCAGTGCTGGCACAAGCTGGAGGAAGACAGGAGCTCAAAAGGAGCAGCCTGTGATCAAGACCTAGCAGCTGCAGAAAGTTGGAACAGTTTCTCATGCAGCAGCTTAAACAGCTCCAGGAAGGCTGGCTAGCATCTGTGAAACAGATCACGGCAATGTAACAATCCATTCAAGTTTAGGGCAGGCAAAATAACGAAATAATTAAAGCACAAAGTGTTTCAGAACAAGAGTGCCGTTTTTTACTCAGTGTAGACTTCAATGATCTCAACTTTTTGTCCTTTCAGAATTAACTTTTGCCCATAGTACATGGCACGGCACGCTTTCCCTACAAATTCCAAAAAGCTTCTCCTGGAAGCAGGAAGAAAACTAGAAATCTCTACCTGCATTATGCTTTGATAGTGTTCATCAGTACTAAAATGTGTAGTTTACATATTAGAAACAATCACTGAACTCCAGAAGTCTGTGGCTACATTCCTTTCCCCAGATTGGTGATCATGTGAACTCCCTTCCCTAAGGACAAATGATACCAATCTTGCATCCCATCAGCCTGATGCTTCTGTTCTCAAACAAGGGAGAAAATTTTTCCCTGGAATAACAGCATGCTAAAAACAATATCAGAAGAGAGCAAGGAGCTCCTACTGTACAGATAACTTCCATGACTTAAAAATGCTGGGTGCAGAGATGGCAGAGAAACTTTCCATACATTTAGTTCAATGATTAGAAAACTGATCTACACTGATGAAATCTATATCAGCAGTTTACCCTTGAATTCATGACGTATTT